CTGCCATTGAGACTGCGGCCAGGTGCCAGCCTGCCCCAGAAAAAGTTCGTGAGATATTGTAGCAGCAGCTTTTCAGGGATTATGGAAAATCACAATGCGCATCTGGCACCAGGCTTCACACTTAACGACCTTGTTCCAGCACCAGCGAATGTGGCCATTTTCTGGGGTCTACTGGGACCAGGTGGCTACAGTCTCTACGAAATGCCCTTCCAGCAGTGGAACTTCTTTTCCCCGTGCGGCCCGAGAACCTCCCGGACCCCACTCTGCTCCTGGGGATTTGCCCTTCCCACCAGAGCACTGCCAGGTATCGAGCTGCGGAGCTGCAGACTTTGCGCTCCCCTTGTTTACAGTCTTGGAATTTAAACCCTCTCCTTTCTCCTTTCTCCCTTTTTAGTTTAGTCCCTGCGGCTGTTTCCAACTTTCCACTTTCTCTCCAGCTGCTTTTGGGGAGGGGTGCTTTTCCCGTATTCTCCCCCGCCCAGTCTCCGTCCTCTCTCCGCCTGCAAAGGCAGCTCCCTGCCACCGCCAGCTTCTCTCTCCCCACGTTCACCTCTCTGCGCCACATACCTGCTGAATTCTGTGGTTCAGCTTGTGCAAATTGTTGTGTTAATCCTCCAATCAGTTTTCTAGGTGTGTAGGATGGTTTAGTGTTGGTCTGGCTGTATTTCACAGACGCGAGACACACAAAAAACTTCCATGCCTTTCTGCCATCTTGGCTCCTCCCAAATACTTAAGTTTTATTAAGGGTGGAAGGACACTTTTTTAGATTAGGTTGACCCAAAATCAGAGCCTGAGAAAAGGAAATAATTACATATGTTACATTTGGGAGTTGATCCCAGAAAGCACACAAGAAGGTGTGGGGAAATTAAGAGAGCAAAAGGAGAAAGCCAATGAAGCAAGCATGAGTGAGTGGGTTACCAATGTGGACACCTGGGATTCAGTTTCTCTGGGGCTCTTCTGAAAAACCATGAAGGACTTCAGTATTGTCTCACCAATGGAAGGGGAAACTGGGTTATTTGTCTATCAACTCTCATCCCTCATTGGTGTAGGGTTACCTGGTGTCTTGGGCTACCTTACAAGTAAATTGAACCAGCTCTTGTGGTACTTGAAAAAGCTCTCAGACAGAGAAACAGAATCACACTTGACAGCACCTTCCTCATGACCTCATAACCTCCCCAGCACCCCAGATCTCCAAACACCATCACATAGGGGTTTAGGTTTCAACATATGAATTTTTTTTGTTGAGGGGGGTCAGAATCATTCTACAGCATTCTGTCCCTGGATGTCCCAAATGTGTGACCTCACATACAAAATATTCATTTCATTTCCACCCCCCCCCCCCCCCCAGATCTTAACATGTTCCAGCATCAACTCTGATGTCTAAAGTCTGAAGTCTTATTTAAATTTTGTCTAAATTAGCTATGGGAAGACTTAGATATGACTTGAGATATGCTTTTTCTTGAGCAAATTTATTCGCCTGCTGTGGACCTTTGAAACCACACAAGTTACATGCTTCCAGAATGTACTGGTGGGACAGACATAGGATAGACATTCCTGTTCCAAAAGGGAGAAGTAGGAAAGAAGTGTTAAATTAATTTTAGAAGGAAGCTATTGCCCTGAGGTGGTTTTAATGCCTTAGTAGCTTACATAAGCAAACCAAAACCTAAACCTAGAACACCTCATGTTTAAGAAACTGCAACCTAAAGACAACCAAGTTACAAGCAGCCAACTAGACTTTCCCAAATAAGGCAACTGCTTAAGCTATAGCCAGTTAAATAATTTTCTTGCTTTGCTTTGTTTCTTTATCTTCTCTATACAACATTTCCTGCTAGCTCCTGTTGGTGGAGCAGTCCTAACCACTTCCAGTTTAGTGATATTGGATTTAAACTGTTTTTTTTTTTTTTTTTTTTTTTTGTTAAAATAAACTCTTGCCATATCAATATGGCTCAGTTTATCACTCAACAGAAGAAAGGAATGACGGGTCCCAAGCAAGCCCAAAGCCTAATGAGGCAAATGTCATCAGACCATAAGGCTCAAAAAGAATGCTCTTTGACTCAGAGTTCAGCTTCTCAAATGCGCAGGGGGTAGCAATCCACTCACACATCTTGGTGAGCCCCACTCATGCCAAGGCTCTCTGCTGGAATGTAGTGGCTTTGTCAGATGACGCTGTCCTTTAAAACCTAGGTGAAGGCGTCATTGATTCCTCAAAACTATCAAATCCCAAGATGAATTAATTATCTTTATTCTCAAACATTCCTTTGTTTGTGTTTCTTATCTGAGGGAATGACACAATCCAGTTGCCAAAAATAGTCATAATGGATTCTTCCCTCTTGACACCTCCCACATTCCAGGTCACAAAATTATATAAATTTTGGGAGGATGTTGGTATTCCCTTACTAGTACATTCCTTATTTTTTAGTGAAGGAAATGTCATTCAGACCTTCCCAAAAAACATAGATGTTGGCCTTCTGATTTCATTCTGACTTGCTTACCCCTCCATTCCTTCTGATCTTTTCCTTATTACTTTGCCAAGGCAGTTCTGCATCTCACTTTTGGTGACTGCAGGCTATCATCATATCGAGTCTCTAGGGACATAATAATATCAAGGGAGAGTACTCCCATACCAATAAACCTCACCTCCCCAGTCCTACACCCTAACTATTCAAATCCATGTCCCCATTTCTTGCTAGTATGTATTTGCCAGATGCTACAGCTTTTTTTGGTGGATAAGCTATTTATTCACATAGGACTATGCTTGTCTGCTCAGGATATGCTAGTTATTGATCTATAGCATATACTCTAAACCAGAGTAAAAAGGGTTTTGGGAGCATGAAAGATATTTATATATATTACAAGTTTGTGTTGTCCTCCAAGGGACTACAAAACATAAACAGATATATGGTATATCTGCGGCACTAAAATTTAATCAGGGGGGTTAGTAAGGGAAAAATATCTAAGAAGGTCCTTAGGTAGATGATAATGAAAAAAGATTGAGAAATTTTTGTCTCAGTGCTACAACTATGTTCTGCAACCTTGGCAATATTGACATTTTGGACTAGATCATCTTTATTCTGGGGCCTGTCCTTTGCATTACATCCCTGGTCTCTATCACTAGATGCTAGTAGCATTTTTCTCCTCCATCCCAAGTTGTAACAACCAAAAATGTCTCCAGACATAACAGTGGTTCTCAAACTTTAGCACACATCACAATCCCCTGCATAGATTTCTGGGTCCTACTCCTTGAGGAGACCTGAGAATTTGTTTATCTAAATAACTTAAGGAAAGCATGGGTGATTTTAGTACCCCATAGGATTATTTTGAGGATTAAACAAAATGAGGCAGAGGACAGCCGGTACAAAAGCCCTGCAGTTGGAGTATGCTCAGTTTGGTCAGGGATACCAGTGGCTGAAGCAGAGTGAAAAAGGAGGAAAGTAGAAGTAGATGAATTAAGAGCAGTAGTGAGGCACCGTATCACGCAGAGCATATTGACCACAGTTTGACTTTAAATTTAACTCTGAAAGTGATCAAGAGCCGCTAGAGTATTTTGAACTGATGAATGGTGTGACTTGACTTACACGAGGAGGTTTACCCTGTCTGCTTTGTAGGGTGTAGACTGAATGGAAGCAACAGCAGAAGCAAGAATACTAGTTAAGAGGTTATTGCAACTCACGAAGAAATGTTGGGGTGTGGATTTATTGTGGAATTGAGGGAAAGCATCAGGTTATGGAGATATTTCCAAGTAAGAGTTGGCAGAATATGGTGGTGGATTGCATATGGTGTGATGGAGAAAGAGAGGAGCCGTGGGTCAAGGACATCCCCAAGGATTTTGGCCTGAACTGGAATATGAAGTTACCATTTGCTAAATTGGAGAATAATGTGGAAAAGGAAAGTTTTTGGAGAGAAGATCAGGAGTTTAGTTTTGGAATGTTAAGCTTGAGGTATCTCAAATGGTGATATTATGTAGATGATTGGATATATATGAGAGCACTGAATCCTAACCACTAGACCACCAGGGATGGTGATGATTGGATATATGAATCTGAAGTTCAGGAATGGATCTTGGATGGAAATACAAACACCCAGTTATATTCCCACAGATAATGTTTAAAGTTTTGATATTGGAAGAGATTATCTAACAATGAATACAGATATAAAAGAAGTAACATCTGGGGTCTGAACCATGTATGCTAAGAAAATTTTAGTGTAGTTAGAAACTAGGGTTATTATTAATAAAATGGATCATGAAGAATTGTTTTGCAAAACTTTACAAGTAAGGTGATTGAAAAACGCACCAGTGAAATGTCTCCTAGTAAGACAATTGGGGCAAAAGCCAAAAGAAGTTATTAACCTTGGTCTTTAGAGTTTAGGGTAGGTTAGATTTATTGAAAAATTGAATTTGCATGTGTATCCATGGGCTATAATAATTACCTCTGGAAACCAATTATAGGAATTAGGAGTAGTCTAACACAGTTATTATTTTACTTGAAAAGGAGTACTGAAATTTGTTTTATGCTGCATAAAGAACTTGTTTGATATATATTTCATGAGCCCCAGTTGAGAGGGAACATTTTATATTGGAATATATGAAAGCTTCTAATCAAACATTTATGTCAGCAAGAGTTTTCTTTTGTGGAAGAAAGTTAACGTGATAAAAAAGTAAAAAGGGCATAATAATGCCCTGAAGATGCTAATCCATTTTAGACGAGACAGAGGGCAGGGAGGAGTCTTGGTAATGGACAAACCTTGACAAGTGGCCTGAAGTCAAGAGCCTGAGCCATAGACATGGTTTTTGACCTCTGCTTCTGCAAGAAGCCTCTTACCCTTCTGTTCTCTTAGCTAAATCTGAGCTCATTCTGTTTCACCTGCTCAATGACACAGCACTTGTGAGTGGTTGCCTTTAACTCTTTTCATACTTTTGCATTTGAATGGGAGGAAACAATGAAGTTTAGTTTAAATGAATATAGGATCTAACATGAGCAATTTCTGAAAGGGAGATGAGATGGTTTAAAATGTATTTATTTTACTCGGTGTAATATGTTTCTTTTCAACTTCTGTCTTTTCCAGCTATTCCAAGCTGACCCTCTGATGGCTTCTGGCATAGACTCACTCTCCCTGGAAAAGTGAAGGAATTTTCACAGACCTTGTGCATGACATCCACACCTTCACCAAGGCTCTCTTTTCTCTATCTTCTTCCATCTTCTCCATGGCTGATTGGAGATTGGAATAAATCTAGTGTTCTAGTAATGACCACTGGGCTCTTGATTTCAATTTCTTTATCCCTGTACCATGCTCCCTTCTCTACTCCAGTAAGTTTTTTTCTACCCATAGACTTGGAATCTGGTACACAAGGGAAGAACTCTGGGTGTATGAGTAGGTCAGAAGATCAAACATCCTCACCTGTTTTCCTCTTCTCACTGTTTTGGTCCAGTCCCAGGTCTGGGTATTGACCCATGTTCCCATCTCACTCATTCTAAGTAGTGTCCTTCTCTGGTGTCCCCTCCTCTCTAGAACTGGAGTCCTGACCTTAACTATGTATTATTTGACTAGCTGGACCAGTTCTCCTGAGAGTGGACCATCTTTCTGCTTGGGGTTAGTGTATATTTACAGATCTCATGTTAATCAACTATTTCTTACTTGACAATCAAGTATGCAGCTATCATCTGGTTGCTTTCTTCTACCTTCTTAATTATAAATCATAATGCTAACTAGTTCCAGAAACTTTGTTGGTGAAAGTTGGATCGTAAAACACTGTGTCTTGACCACGTGGGCTTCTTCTCTGGAATGATCTGGGAATATGTTCCTCGGACTCCCTCCTTCTTGTCTGGGTCTCAGTCTTGTCCTTATTCAATCCCCTTCCCTTTCTCTCTGCCTCCCTTCGGGCACACTGTAGGCTTTTAATCATCTGATAAGTAATGAAAATAACTTGAGTTAATAAAATATTAACACAGTAACATTCATTTATTATAAAAATTTGGTTTTAATTAACACCAAATTTTAACTTCCAGACTTAAGTGGAACACAATTTTGAATCCCTCTCGGAGACTCAGATTTACTTTCACTGAGGTTGTGTCAATTTCATGAACCTTTCTGAAGTCAGAACTGTCTTTTCAGGATGGAAGTGAGAACAATGATAGATCTTGTGTATTCCCCATGAGGATCAATCAATGCACATTTCCACGCACTTTCTTCCAATCAGAAGTGAGTGGTTTTTCCTATTTTTTTTCCCTTTAGCTTAGGTTGGAAAGTGATTTTTACTGGTAAATTTAATTTTACATAACCTTGGTTCTATTACTGTCTCTGATCTAATCACTTTTAAAAAGAGAATTGAAAGGCATCTGGGTGGCTCAGTCAGTTAAGCATCTGACTCTTGATTTCAGCTCAGGTCATGATCTCATGGTTCATGGGTTTGAGCCCCATGTTGGGCTCTGCACTGAAAGCATGGAGCTTTTTTGGGATTCTCTCTCTCCCTCTCTCTGCCCCTCTTCCTCTCATGCTCTCTCTCAAAAATAAATAAATAAATAAACTAAATTTTAAAAAGATTTGAAACGACTTTAATGACAGCCTACCCGAATGCCTGACATTTGACCATTATGTGATAATATTTTAAGACAGAGATATAATTTCTTTACATCCTACTCCCAAAGTTATGTGCTTCAAAAGTACAGGTACCTTTGTTATTCCTGGAAGTGAGAAAAGCTTTGAGAATACTGTGCCTCTGCTCTCTGATCCCCAGAGCCTTTAACATAATAATGAGGCTTGCATTTATGTACCATTTTATGCATTAAAAAATGCTTTCACATACTCTTCTTGTAGCAGCCTAGCAAAATAAAAGAGCATGAATTTTGGCGTTAGGCAACCTTAGACTTAAAGCCCAGTTAGCATCCTACCATCTGTGTGGTCTTGGTCATGTTCCTTAATCTGTCTGCGCTCATTTTTTCAATTCAAAAAATGGGGGAGATGCTACTTATTTAGGGAAGTTGGGAGGATTAAATCACATAATATATGCACTGTTACTGGCACATGTAGACTTTCAGTACCTCCTGGTTTGATAGCAACCTGGGGAGATTGAGAGGAGTTGAAATAATAACCAACATAAATAACTTGCAGGGACTTTTTATATGTGTAATAGGTAAGTATTTCCTCCTCACACATCAGCACAAGAAATGTTATTTTGGTTTAATTTTTTAAGTCAAATAAAATCTCTATGCCCCTACTCTCTGTGGAGGTGAGAAATTAAATCTCCGTCATATGTTTTAGTGTCTTCTCACTCCTTGGATTCCAAATTTGGAGGGGGAAAAGAAGGATGCTTGTGTGCATATAGAAAGATGTGGGAGGTGGAATGGCCCTCCCAGTTCTTATAGCTCCTCTTTCTGCAAGAGCTACTTTCCATTTTTCCCTTCAGAGAGCACTGATGCTCTCTGTAAGCTCAGAAGTGCATTCCCTAGAGATCCTGTCCATGGACCATAGGCCTGGTCACTGAAGACCTTTGCTGATCAGTGTTTGGCCTCCATCAGTATTCCATAAGGATAATCCATCAGAGATAATCTCTGTATGTATGTTATCTCCCCAAGTCCCTAGACCCTTCCCTGTCTAGGACAACTTCTCTTTCACTGGTCTCTAGTACCAGCACCAGCCTTTTATCCCTGTTCACTCCAAGGGTCTTCACCTAAAATTAAGCCCAGGGCAAGGGGTTATTCCTTATGCACAGAAGATTTTACTTTCAAATATCAGATTCTCTGAGATAGTGGAACTCAGAGCAGAGGGGCAAGTTTTGGTAACTTTTGGGAGAAAGGGAAGGAAACAGTAACACTCATTGTTTTGAGCACCCTGTATTAGTGAAAATAATATGTATGTTAATACCATAGTAGATCATTCTGCAATGATTTAGTTCTTTCACCACTTCGGTGATGTAAGTTCTTCAGCCACCATGCCATGCGCAATAAGGAAAGAGGTAAATCCTGGCTTCCCACCCCATGAGGATTTGCCTCTTCCTAGACTGCAATACTGCTTCACTGTTAAGAGGGAAGAGGTCCTTCAGGGACTGGTAGTTCTGATCAAAGTCTTCTGAGAGGGTGTTCACTTATCCCTTGGCCTCAAGACATCTAACATGAACTATTTCTATGTTTCTAATAGAAACTAACTCTTCCTTGATGTCACTTACCTCCTTCAATCCTTTTAAATGGAGGAGGTGTTTTCTTCTTTCTTACCTCAGAACCTAGAAGTGGTGTAAATATGTTCCCCTTTACTGCCATTGTTTCCTATTGATTCCAATGAAATAAAGTCTAGAGAATGTCATCCAGTTCTTTGTTGTCACCTGCACTTCATCATTCCAGTTGAGGGGCTGTGGGGACAAGGATACAGTCATACAAAGCATCCCCAGCACCTGTTTCAGTGGCAGGAAAAGGAAGGCATCGTGCTTAAGTTATCATAGGAGCAGAGCCTGAATTTAGACAAAGAAGTCGTATCATATGTCGAAAGAATATTTGGCAGCCAAAATGATTTTTGAGTGAAAAAATGAACCAAATGTATTTCAATGAACTTTTCTATCACCTCTGGAACCAGATTTTTAGATTAAAAACAATTAAATTTTCTATAAATTTACTTCTTGTTAATTACATAACTATGTTCATAAATAAAGCAAACAAAAGGAACAAAGGAATGAAGCAGGAGAAGATGATAAAAAGGAAACAAATGATATTCCTATTACCTCATATTAAATATAGGACCGAGGTCTGGTACTGAAGGCTAATTATCATGAGTAATTGCTATATGCTGAGTACGTATTTTGCTAAATGTTGTCTAAGTATAAACTCAGCTTATCTTTTTTTTTAAATTGAGCCTACACCCTGAATAGCAAAAGAATAATTCCCAGACACAATTTTAGTAGCAGTTCCGTTTTCTTGCTTGAAAACTTAAAAATTAAAAAAAAAAAAAAAGGTCATTGTTATAGGATTGACTATAAAGAAAATTTTTACCTTGTCTTATTCTGAGAGGTAATGATTTTGGTGGATTGCTTATTTTCAAGACATTTTCCCAAAAGACACTGGTTTGAGATCTCAGCCAAAGAAGATGAAGAAGGAGCCTGCTTTGCCACCAGATGGAAGCCTGTGGTAATCAGAGAAGTCAGGTTTCTGTCACCAGGCACACGTCACCCAGATGATGAAATCCCCTTTTTTCCACTATGCGCCATTTCCAGAAAGCATTAGTTAAAATTGGCTAATCTTTGCTCTGCATATATTTTTTCAACCTGATTATGTTATTTTCGGGGAACAAGATGAGATGCTAGGATCAAAATGTTAGATTCAAAATGAGACGTTTTCCATATTCATAACCCTTAGGTCATTGCCATATTCAGAACTATATTAGATAATAAAATTTAAAAGCCCATTTTCATTCCAAGATGCTCAATTTTAGTAACTGTTGAATTTCACACACCACCTCTTATCCCTGCACCAACTGCCTACAGGAAACACAGAAACTTAATTATTGACAGACCAAATATTTGCATCCTGTGGAAACCAGAATATTCCATAATTTAAGAATGTAGCAAATATTTTCCATAAAGCCCGATCTTGCCCTTCGTTGTGGGCTGCATTTAAAGCAAGCGGTACAACTTTTCAAGCTGCAGTTGGGATCTTTTATCTCTTTTGAGGTCTGAACATGGGTTATTAGCTTTTCTTCCTCTTTAAAATTTTACTCTGCCTGCTCCTGCCACTTCTTCATTCATACGCTATGAACTATCAGCTTACAAACTGGTAAAGCGCCATGTACTATTTTATTTCAACATGTGAGTAATTTCTGTGCCATCTATTCACCAATTAATGGTTTTTCTGTGCAAGAAGATCTCGTTTCAGAATGCCCATGATCAGATTTTATTTTTTCTTGCTTCACCTGCAGCTTTCTGCAAAAGTGTGCTTGACGCACATGTCATTGCTGTGAATACATTGATTTGCTTAAAGGGGCCGGTGCTATGAAACTACAATTATATGCAAGTGCTTGAGAAATGTAAAGTGCTATGAAAATAAAAAACATCATTATTTTCTTATGGCTTATAAGTGACTTGCACTGTATGAATGACCTTTGGGAAGTCCTCCAAGTTTTTACTATCGTAGAAACAGCTCTGCTTCATGGAGACTTTCCAGTCTGGTGTTTGTACATCAAAACAAGGCTGTCGAAGAGGGTTGCTGTCCCCGAGGCACAGAGGCTGGAGTCCTTTCTGTGCTTTGCCAATGGTCTGGCCATTTCATAACAGTGCTTCTGTGAAAAGGAAACAGGATTAGAGAAGAAAGGGCCATGAGATTAAGAAACAGTCTCCACTCTGTTATTTTTCTCCTACATAACTCTGGGCAAATCATTGAACCTGTTTGGAGTCTACCTGTTTCCATATCTGTAAAATGAGGATGACTATACTTGTTAACACCTAGCTCTGGGAAACAGAAATAATCATGAATTTCAAAGTACTACCCAAAGTTGGTTATTACTAAGATTTAATTACTGGTGTATTGTTTCTCATCAGAAAGTCATTCATCCAAGCTGTACTTTGTAAAAATTGTTTTCACTAAACTGCATTTTAATGGTATTCCAGTAACCAAATTTGAGGGATATTATAAGAAAATCAAAACTCTTTCCTATTTGTTGTACTGTAAAAAAGTAATGGAGGAAATTGTTTACACCTCACATAGTGTCCTTTTTTATGAGGACCTAAAGAGTTGACACATTTTTCTCAGATTATTTGGGTTTCTTTTAAACACAGCTTTCTGTTTTTTTTAAAAGTCATGTAACGGGTTGTGTTTTCCTCTTCATACTGGCTTCTAGGCAGCTCTGAGTTAAATCCATGGTTCATATTTAGCAAAGTCTGTATGACTTTATGACATGTATTTTAACCTCACAACTATCTTTAACTTACTGTTTCTGTGTTTTCCTTTTCTTCATGATTTCCTCACTTTACCCTCTTCGTATGCTGCATGTATTTTGAAAATGACATGATTTTTGGAATGAGGTTGTATCTAAATATAAAATGTAATTTCTCCTATAAGACAGAATATTTGAGGGGAGCCTGGGTGGCTCAGTCAGTTAAGTGTCTGACTTTGGCTCAGGTCATGATCTTGCGGTTTCATGAGGTTGAGCCCCACATCAGGCTTTCTGTTGTCGGTGAAGAACCCACTTCAGATCCTCTGTCCACCCCTCTCTCTTTCTGCCCCTCCACTCATTCTCTCTCTTTCAAAATAAATAAATAAATAAACTTAAAAAAAAGATAGAATATTTGAGTTGTATAATAATAATTGCCAATATATATCGAACACTTACTATGTACTAGGACCTATGAAAAACCCTACATGATATGTCACTTATTCTTCACCATGAAAATGGTGTTATTTCCTATATTTTACCAATGAAGAAATTAAGACTTTAAGAGTTTAATCAGCTCATCAAGGGGCTCACCACTGGTAAACGGAGGTGCTAATACATTTATCTGATTCCAGTATTCATGCTGACTAGTCATTACACTATCTTGCATTTTCATGCCAATTATAATAATGTGACAAATGATTGATATTATTGTAGAATTATAAAAGGTTTTTGATGTAGTAGAATATTTAATCTTTATCAAGAGCGTATGCAATTTAAAGAAAATTAGGTGTTTTAAGACCCTATTATTCATATCTTTGCTTGAAAATTTGATAGAGAAGATGTTTTGCCACCCCTTGTCTCTATTGCCCAAAATGATATCAGTGTTTGTCTCCATATGTGATTTGGTATTAAAACCAAAAGAAATGCATGCCTCTTAATGACATATGGAGAAACATATCCAGCCATCCTTTTTTAGAATGTAACAAATACCTTCTGGCACTTTCTTGCAATCTTTTGCCATGGTTTGTTCCTTCAAGTTGTACTTCAAATACCTTTACTACTCTGTCTCTCTCTTTTTTTTTAAGTTTATTTATTTATTTTGAGAGAGAGAGTGCAAAAGCAAAGGGGAGAGGGAGGGACAGAGAGGGAGAGAGAGAATTCCAGTGCACAGCCTGACATGGGCTCAGTCTCACGAGAACATGACATTATGACCTGAGCCAAAATCAAGAGTCAGACACTTGGGGCACCTGGGTGGGTCGGTTGGTTAAGTGTCTGACTTTGACTCAGGTCATGATTTAATGGTTCCTGAGTTTGAGACTTTTGGGATTCTATCACCCTCTCTGTCTCTGTCCCTCCTCCACTTGCTCTTTCTCTGTCTCAAAATAAATTAATTAAAAAAAAAATTCAAACACTTAACTGACTGAGCCACCCAGGCTCCCGGAGGCAATGATTTTTAAGAGAATTGAAGGAGACAAGATGTGTGTCCCTTTAATGTTCGAACAGGTCTGTGTGTTAACTAATAGGACTGGGAGCAGCTGGAGCTATAAGCATATTGTTCATAAAAACTCTTAGAGAGATGATTTTTGAGCATGATATTCAGAAAGAATGAAATGCCTTTGCAACTGTGTTATCATTCCAGTACAAACCTGCATAGGACAAAGATCAAGAGGGAACACAAAAGATCTGCCAAGGACACCAAATCAGACCATGAAATAAAAGGAGGATAAGAACAGAACTATCAGGGAAATTTTTTGCTCAGCCAAAGTTTGCTAAAAGTTTCATTAAATCCATATTGAAATAGAATGAAAATTGAATTTCTCAACTTTGTCTTTTATTTTTAGAATTTTTTTGGTGTGTGTGCAGGGCCATTTTGTCTATTAGGTAATATAGGCACAGTTCCTGGGGCTATAAACTTTCAGAAGATCCACAAATAAATGTGTCACCTAAAAAATGATCTATTAGCTCTAGAATATGAAGGAAACCCCTGTGAGTCAAAAGGAATTAATACTTAATGAAATATCCACAAAACATAACATCACATTACTTGTCTGGCTACAACTTCACCCAACAGTTATATCTTAGGGTAGAATAATAATAAGAAAGATGGAATATTTGTCCTCAAATACATAAAATTATGAAAATACTTTCTAAAACTTTCACAGCAAAAATATTCTTAGTGTGTGATGTGGGTGTTTTAAAAACACGTTTGATATGCAGGGAGATCTTTAAATTAAGAAGATTAAAATTAAGAACGTCATAAAATAATTCAAAATGAGTTTATGTACATATATGTTTTAGTTTTCTATTGCTATGTAACAAATTACCACACATTTAGGAGATAAAAACATCCCATATTTATTATTTCACAGTTTTCCTGTGTGAGGACTCAGGCATGTGTTATCTGGGTCCTTTGTTCAGGGTCTAACCAGATTGAAATCAAAGTGTCAGTTGGACCTGTGATTGTACCTGGAGACTTAATTAATTCAGTTGGTTAAGAGTTATCATGGGAGTGACATCCATCAACTTGGTCACATTATGTAACATAGTTAGGAGAATAGCATCCATTACCTTTGCTATATTTTATTGATAAGAAGCTAGTCATAGGTCCCACCCACACAGAAGGGGAAGGGATTATGCAAGTGAGGAGTGGACCATACATCCTAAAATGACTTCCTGGGGGTTTCCTTTGGATGTGTCTGCCACAGTGTTTAAAGTTAGCTTTGGGGCGCCTGGGTGGCGCAGTCGGTTAAGCGTCCGACTTCAGCCAGTTCACGATCTTGCACTCCGTGAGTTCGAGCCCCGCGTCGGGCTCTGGGCTGATGGCTCAGAGCCTGGAGCCTGTTTCCGATTCTGTGTCTCCCTCTCTCTCTGCCCCTCCCCCGTTCATGCTCTGTCTCTCTCTGTCCCAAAAATAAATAAACGTTGAAAAAAAAAATTAAAAAAAAAATAAAGTTAGCTTTTTTCCTTTTTTAAAAAGGATTTTGAAATAATTGACAATAACTGACCCCTTACGTGTGTGTGTGTGTGTGTGTGTGTGTGTGTGTGTATAAATGCATGCTTATATGTCTGTGTATAAACTTAGTGTATTACAATCAGATTACATTTGGTACAAATTACAATTAGTCCTTACAGTTTTGTGTGAGTATATGTGTTCTTGCACTCCAGGCTGGAGGATCCAGGATCGCTCAACTTACAGTGTGAGTGATTCTTGAAACCTACCTATTTTTGGAATGAGTCTGGTAACTGGAGCAGAAGCTTTGTTGGAGAGGCCTTGCTTGTAGTTAGGACTTCACAGATGGAACAGAATTCTGAAGATGAAGTGAAATTTGGTAAGTCTCAGAAATAATGGAAGTTTGTTTGCTTGGATTAGATTCTTGAATTTTTGAAAGGCACATGGTCTTGAGGGGTACAAATATACATCTAACAGCAGTAGCAAAATTTTAAGATGAAGATGATGACTGCTAGAAGGGAGGGTCTCTGAGTGATATTATTGGTTTTTAACCTATCACATTTGTAGTCAAGCTGTGAAGCAATCCTATATGATAGGGAGTTGCATTTGCCAGAACCATAAAGCATTAAGATGGCTGTATATGGTCATAGCTCCCAGTTAAAATTTCTACTCTGAAGAAATAAGCAATATGTATTTGGAAAATAGTTGCTTCTCTGTAGATGTGCTTTACACCACAGCCATCTGAAGAACTTTCAAATTCAGTATATTTCGATGTCAGAGCAAATAAAAACCACATCTTTAATTAGTGAAAATGTCTAGTCTTCTCCATTTTTATTTTCTCTTCTACCAATTATTGCAGATGCTTGAACAAGCCTCCTCAGCTGCAAATTGATGGATACAGAGAACCAGCCACATGGAGTGTTCATATGATTGTTGCCATCTGTCTTTAAATATAACATTCTACCATGCGTCTCTAAGTAACAACAAAATCTCCACCTGGAACCACTAATGAAGCTTAAGTCTACATTTCCCAAACATACAGATTATGGAAAGATCAAGAACTAAAGAGAGAACAAGATAACTTATATGAAGAAAATATGAATATTATAAAAGAAGATAGGAAAAGTGAAAGAAAGTAGGGAATTAATTGAACAGCAGGAAGAAGATGGACAATTTCCAAGAACAATATATTCCTCCCACTCTAAAACTGGGGAGTTTAATTTCCTCCATTTCTTTCATAATGACTGGGAGAAACTCTTCAGAGCTAATACATTTTATTTGTTTAGTTAGAAAATACTTATTATACAGGACCTACATAAATGTCAATAGAGTTGTTTTGACTCTTTATTAAAATTTTATATTCTTAGATACTATATGCTATACTACATTTTAAAATAGCCTTCACAAATAGAATTGCTCTACTTTTGTTGCTAAATTTGGAATGAATTAGGAGAGCTTTAGAATGCATTAAAATTAACTTTATGCGTATAAAATCACCTTTTGAATTTTTTTTAATAAAACTGTCTAACCAAATTTAAGCTGAAGGAGACTTTATGAACTGATTTAAGAAAAGCAATTGCATCCTGGGACATCATAAAATGAGCAGGATTCAAAATAATTAAGCCCCCTCTTACCTGTAGGGTGATTTCTAATTAGAAGTTTCTTCTTGGAGAGTATAGTATTGTGTCATCAAACTTCAGTCCCTTCTTAATATGTCCTGGATATAGACCTTCAATTAAGGAAATTCATGTCCAAATACTCCATTTAAGAGAGTAGATTTGCACTGCCTACTTCTCAAACTAAGTGGGATTTTGGAAACTCCCCAATTCTTTTTCAATTCCCAAAGGAACATTAAAATTTACAAGTTAGATAATACTTTTTAAAGACAGAAAGTGCTTCCTCTATATTGATACTTTATTTTTTTTCAAAAAGCATTAGAGGCCATGAAGGGTGAATCTTTATACTACCTAGCCAGAAATTGGTAGCTATGTAGAGAATAAAGATATTATCTTATTGGAGTCATCTTCATATTTTGAAACACTTTGTGACTAGAGAATAAATGCAGATGCTTAGCTTGACTCAGAAGTCTTAGATGGAATGAGAGCATATGTAAAACTAAGTCTAAGAACAATACACTCCTTGTTGTTGAAAGAAGAAAACCACCCACGTAAAGTCATTAGAGTTTGACATTGAAGATCAGTCCAGAGCTGGAAGATTCTAAGTTGGAAGACTGATGATCTATCAAGACTGGAAGTGAAATGTTCAATGACTAGGTGTCACTGAGAGAAATACTCTTGGCCCTATAAAATACACAGGAAATGATATTTCATGGAAAAGCCCTATACAGTACCCCAAATGAGTCATTAATGGAGTCAGGATAAAATGGAAACTTGTGATGAGCTTCTTTACTAAATTAAACTGACTTTAAAAAATGAATTAACTTCCTAATATTAAAATAGAGTTCATTATTAAGAAACCGGAAAACATCAGAATACTGGTTGAAAGAATAATCTGAGGGGCGCCTGAGTGGCGCAGTCGGTTAAGCGTCCGACTTCAGTCAGGTCACGATCTCGCGGTCCGGGAGTTCGAGCCCCGCATCAGGCTCTGGGCTGATGGCTCGGAGCCTGGAGCCTGTTTCCGATTCTGTGTCTTCCTCTCTCTCTGCCCCTCCCCCGTTCATGCTCTGTCTCTCTCTGTCCCCAAAATAAATAAACGTTGAAGAATAATCTGAAATCACAGATTAGAACCAATTAAAAAAAAAACTACATGTATCCTCTTATTGGGCATTTTCAAAATTAAGAATATTATTATAGTTTTTATGTTTGCTATGAAAACAGCTAAATCTAGTTTCCTGTTGTTTCCTAGAGTGTTTTCGATGCCACAAAGGTGAGGGGCTGGCCTTCTTCCATTTATAACATTGTGGTTGGGAATATGTTTTTCAGTTCATTGATTCAATAGAGGAGGAGAGATAAGTAACTGAGTAAATAAAGGGATTAATATGTTGCTCGATTGAGACAGCATTATGGAAAGGAAATAATAGATTTGAGGTGAGATTAGTTGTATGGATTTATAAGTAATTTGAACTTTTTGATTCTCAATTAAAAAAATTTAAAATAAGGATAACAACACCTATTTAAACATGTTGTTGGGATGTATATAGAGTTTGCAGAAATCATCACATGAAAACTTATACTGATTTTTTATTATTGAGATATCTATATATTATTGAGATATCTATATATATAGATAGATAGATATCTATATCTATATATTATTGGAGGAAATGAAAGGTAATTCTTTCAGATACCTTGAAATTATAGACAGAGCCCACAGTTAGATTTTATTCTCTATATAAATTAGGTTGAGCTTGATCATACAAAAGAGATTACATGGTTAAATTTTACAGCAAGGAATAAAGTTTAGAACATTTTGTTTCATAGGCATCCAGTTACTTAGGGCTTTCTGTCAGCTGGCTCACATTGTATCTCCCTGTCTGCTAAGATTGGTTGGGGAAGTTAGTTGAGCTTTTTTTTTTTTTAGCAGGGAAGTAGAACATGAGGTGAATTCTCAACTTAAAAGAATGACCTTGGGATAAGTTTAATTGAATTATTCTATCTTGGCACATTTTGGGAAGGTATTATAAAAGAGATATAAATAAAGTCTTGAAAGATGGTAGTTCACATTTCGTTGGTCCCAGGGACTGTATAAGAGCAATGGTAACGTAAGGAGGCAGTCTAATACACCTTGTCATCCAATGTAAGATCAAAGATTCGGTTGTGAATTTAGTGGTAACAGGATGAAGAAGGATGTTCAGCCTGATTTAGTTTCCAGCAGTGGGTCTACCTCCTGCTATGGCAAATGTAGTTTTCTTTGTGGTCCAGCCAATATATTAGGGAACTAAATTAGAGTTTGGAATCAAAACCCCAGGTAATAAGTATTTCTCTACCTCACCATGGTCTTTATGCATACACATCACTGAGAGGTGTTTTATGGAGGGGTGTGTGGTTAAAGACAATGTGGATTTGAGATCTTAGGTTCCTTATATCTCTATCTATATATTTATATGGATACATTGCTTATCTGCAAAATAGGGTTTAGAATGTCTACCTAACTTTTTTTCTTACCTTACATAATTGAGTGAGACTTGTATGTGGAAGAGGTTTTGGAAAAAGTTGATTATTCAATACAAACCTGAGGTGACTAGCAAGAACTTTTGTGAAAATTGTACAGAGGATGAGATAATAAGAAGCCCTCTTTCATTTTTCTCTAGCTCTTTGTTTACCCCTTTTGCTTTATTTCAAAATAAGAGGAATAGGAAATGAATTTATATTCAATATTTTTCTCTTTTCAGAGCTTGCTTATAAGAGTGATTTCAATGTCACTCTTCAAATGAAGAGTTGAAGGACAACACGTATAATGGTTGAGTTCAGTGTCACTCTTCAAATGAAGAGTTGAGGACAGCATGTATAATGGTCAAGATCAGGGATTCTGGAGCCAGGCTTTTGGGTTTGAACCTTGTCTCCGTCACTTATTCTGACCTTTCATAGGTCGTTGAGCATCTCTACTCCACAATTTCCTTTTTGTCAAATGGGGATAATTCTACACAGTTGTTGTGAGGATTAACTGAATTATTTCATGTGTAATACTGAGAATCGCGCCTAACACTTCCTAAATTCTCAGAAATTGTCAGCTATTTTTCTTCTTCTTAATCTTATTACTGCAAAGGTAGCCATTAATTTTTTCCAGGAAATTTATGACAGCTCCAGGCTGATCAACTGATTTTTGAACTTGTGGGGAGAACGTAGAAGGATATTTGAAATTAGTTGCTTGACATTTGCGGTACCAGTGCCTTGTTCTCCAGAATTGTGGCATTCTGACTCACAATAAATTAAGACTTTACTCCACGTTATTATTATTAGTAGTAGTAGTAGTAGTATATTTGGTGATGAGTTCAGCTTTGGCGGGAGGTACAAGGATTATGTTAGAATTTGCTCTATGTGACAAACTGAAATCAGATTAATCAGAGGATTCCGTCATAGCAAGAGGTTGCAACAGCTTGTGTGGTATTGGATGCTGAACATGACTAAGGAGTATATGACTCCATGATACCTTCCTCCTTCTGGTGCCTGTGTCTATTGTGTAATAAATATGGCTTAATCTCTATAGCTACGAATTGAGGCTACACATTCTTCCTTTCAGCTAGAAACGTGAGAGCTTTAGGTTCCTTATTGATATTGTGTCCTGCAGAAAGAAGTAAAGCTTTAAAATTAAGCAAATCAGTTGCACTTTTGATTGGCAGATTGCACCTTGGGAGAGAAATCTTCCTATACCTATCTTTTTATCTTTACTACTTACTTTGATAACTTACATGTCTCACAAATTAGACACATAGTTCAAAGATGAAAAATACTCAATAAACAAGAAATTCACATTAATTTGTACAGAGGAGTCACCTGCCTAAGTGGAAAGAAGGAGCCCATGGTTTCCTTGTTCTTGTTTACAATGCAGGAGTCACTGCAGTCACTGCAACACAAAATATATTTTGTGTTGTTGGATTTGATAGGAATTTGATGTCATATTTCTCCCCCATAAGTTTTATCTCTGATGAACAAGCTAGAAGCATTGATTGGGAGCTCCATTTCCAGACATTATTTTGAGATACAAATGTTCATCTGAAGATGACTGCCATTATAGGGGCAGCCTGCATTGAAAGACTGACCTTATTTCCTCTTCTATTAAAAAACAAAACAAAACAAAACAAAACATGTAAACTTTAAACAGAGAATGGCATACACACAGAAATGTGTACAAATTATAAGCATATAGTTCAATGAATTACCATAGTGTGAATCATAACATTGTAAACATCCCCAAGTTTTTCTGTGCCCTCTTCCAGTCTCCCCTCTCTCCTTCCCCAAATGCGACCACCATCCTGACTTCTAACACTTTTAGTTTGCCTGGTTTTGAACTGTGTATCAATGGAAACATACAGTATATACTTTTTTGTTTCTGGCTTTCATTTCTCATGATAATATTTGTGAGAGTCATCTGTGGTGGTATGCATGACAGAAGTATGGCAGACTCTGTGATTATTACTCTATGCACATTCTCTAAGACCTACCGCTGTAGTGAAGGAGGCAGAGTCCTACCTGCCTGAACACTTTCTTTGGCATCTGAGGACCTGAAGTCCAGATTACTGTGGATTTAACTCTCCTGCAAATCTCAGTCAGTGACTGACAGGAGCTTGTGTGTAAACAGACTCTCTCACTCCTTGGGTGGAATAACTCTGGGGCATGTATCTTCTACCGATTCTTAGAGTTCTCCAGGAGAAATAAGCTTTACCTACTCACAACAGTAACTGGCTCTTTCTGGCCAATGTACCTTTTATTGGCTACATTCCCTTCCCTGTCTCATTTTTGCACTTCTCTAGTAATGTTTCCTGAATTCAACTTCCAAATAAATGAATTGGGCTTGGATTCTTATCTCAGGGTCTGTTTCTGGAAACTTGATCTAATAACAAGTAATTTGATCAGTTTCATTGCTCTGTGGTATACTATTATATGAATTTATGTCATCATGTCAATAAGCTATTGTTAATAATATTGCTATGAATAGTTCTTACACCTTTTGGTTAAATGTATGATTCGGGAATTTCTGGGTCAGATTTATGTAATATATTCAACTTTGGTAGATGATACTAAAATATTTTTCAACGAGGTTGTAACAATTTATACTATAAAGAGAATTCCAATTGCTTATAGTGCTGGAGAATTTCAGTTGCTGCATATCTTTGTCAATTTGTTATTTTCTTTCCTTTTCATTTTAGCCATTTTGCTAAGTATATAGCAATATTCATTGTGTTTTTATTTATATCACCCTGAAGATAAAGGATGCTGATTACGTTTTCATATGCATATTTGCCATTTGGATATTCTATTTTGAAGTGTCCTTCTTATGGACTGGATGTTTGTTCTTCTCCAGACTATATATTGAAGGCTCAGTCCCCAGTGTGACTATATTTGGACATAGGGCTTTTCTGGATATAAAGTTAAATGAGGTCATAAGTGGGGGACCCTGATCTGATAAGATCAGTGTCCTTACAAAAAGAGACAAGAGAGTTCTCTGGCTCTCTTCCCCCTGCCCACATGCACCAAGGAAAGACCATGTGAAGGCACAACAAAAAGGTGGCAATTTGCAAGCCAGGGAGACAGTCTCATCAGGAAGTGCATCAGCTGGCACCTTGATCAAGGACTTCTGTCCTCTAGAACTATGAGAAAATGAGTTTCTTTTGGTCCAGCTACCTGATCTGTGGTGTTCAACTGACTAATACAGATTTTGGTACTGAAAAGTAGGGTGCTACTGGAACAGTGGAAGTGGATTTTGAAGTACACACTAAAAAAAGCAGAGATTGCCTGCTTTTGTGAAGGGATTGTTGGTAGAAATATGAATGTTAAAGGTCGTTCTGGTGAGAGCTCAGGAAGAAAAGAGGAGAGCTGCAGAGGAAACCTCTACCTTTTTTAGAGAATAAATAAATAATCCTGAACAGAAGGTTGGTAGAAATATAGATGTTAAAGGTCATTCTGGTGAGAGTTCAGATGGAAATGAAAAACAGGCTTAGAAACTGGAAGAAAGGGGATCCTTGATACAGTGGCAAAGAACTTGACTGATGTGTTCTACTGTTTTGTGGAAGATAGAACTTGTGAACAATGAAACTGGAGATTTATCTGAGGCAATTTGTAAGCAAAATGTTGAAGGTACTGCCTGGGTCCTTCTGACTGCTTATAATAAAAAGCAGGAAAAGAAACATGAATTGAGGAAGGGATTGTTGATCAAAAAGGAACCAAACTTAAAGATTTGAAAAATTCTCTTGAGTCTCTCCGTATTGCAAAAAAAGAGGAAGCTTGTTGTGATGAAAACTGTAAAGGTGTGGACAAACCCATCTGATAAGGACATCATGGGTGTGACTCATGGACTTAATCAGCCATCTCCGCAGGAGCCAGAAATAGAGATGGAATTATACCAGCAGAGATTCTGCCAGTTTGCCAGTTTGAACTAAAGGGGAGAGAGAAAGCGGGATGGAGTGAAGGAAAGCTGTCAGATGTCTTGGATTCTACAGGACCGGACCATAGAGCTATCTGGCTGTGAATGTGCCTGCCCCAGGGGAAGGGACAAATGACCAACAGAGGTCATCCGAGCTGCCACTCATCACAGGCCCAGGGAGCTGGCTGTTTCCTGTTTCAGAAAGCCCTACTGACATGGTTCGCACATTGGGCCAAGGTGCCCCACTGAGCCCAAGAGATGCTGCTGTCCCCACAGAGCTGTGGGGGTAATGCTGCCACACTGGTGAGCCTGGAGGGTGGGACATTGAGCCAGAGGGACAATTCTTAAGTCTTAAAATCTAATGGAATTTGCTTTTTTATCTTTTAAAGCTACTTGTTCAATAAATTTATTGTCTTTACCTGAAAAAATCTTCAAAGAAAATTGCAGCTTAGTTTTTTAGCTTTTAGAGGCCTACTCCGGAGCTCGGAGGAAGTTGGTCTTCTGAGCTACTCAGTCTTTCTTCTCGGCAAGAAGCGTTTTGAGATGATTCCACTTTCCCTTCTTAACATCTTTCTTAGGCTTCTTTTCATAGACTGGATTCTCTTGTATAGCAGCCTGAGCTTTCTGATACATTTCCTCTCTTACATTTGGAGCTGCATTGTTCTTTATATATTGACAGAATTGTTTCTTGTAAGCATCTTCATCTTCTTCCATGAGGGCAATGCATGTAATCTGCAACGTTCTGACCCATAATGTGCTTCTGATATAATTCTGCATTGATTTCCTTGTTTTTTGAATCATAACCAAGGAGTCATTTTGTTCTGTGAGTCACAAACAAGCCTCTGTCCACAGCTTACCTTCAGGGCCCCATTCTGTTCTAATGGAATTAGCTGGGTTCTGGAATTGTTTGGGACCTGCCACCCCTTTCTTTGTTCTTATCTCTCCCTTTTGGAATGGGCATGTCTATCCCATGCCTGTCTCACCATGGTATTTTGGAAACACATAACTTGTGTGGTTTCACAGGCTCATAGTAGAGAGGAATATTGCCTTAAGAGAAATTATTCAGTGAGTCTCACCTATATCTGATTTAAATGATATTTAGATAAGACCGATCATACTTTAGAGTTGATGCTGAGGGGCACCTGGATGGCTCAGTCAGTTAAGCATCCGACTTCGGCTCAGGTCACGATCTCATGGTCTGTGAGTTCAAGCCCCACGTTGGGCTCTGTGCTGACAGCTCAGAGCCTGGAGCCTGTTTCAGATTCTGTGTCTCCCTCTCTCTCTGACCCTCCCCCGTTCATGCTCTGTCTCTCTCTGTCTCAAAAATAAATAAACGTTAAAAAAAAATTTAGAGTTGATGTGGAAAGCAGTTAAGAATTTTGAGGCTGGTGGGAGGGAATGAATGTATTTGCGTGTGAGAATGACACGAATTTTGAAGGGCCAGGGTCAGAATGCTATGGACCAAATTATGCCCTCCCCCAAATCACCTGTTCAAGCTCCAACTCCCATTGTGACTGTATTTGGAGAATGCAGGGCCTTTATGGAAGTAATCAAGGTTAGATGAGGTCATAAAGACCTTTTTCCAATAGGATCAGTGTTCTTACAAGAAAAGACAAAAAGCGAGCTATGTGAGGAGATAATATGTTAATTAGCTCAAATTGATGCATGTTCTTTTTCCTTCTTTCCCTCTTTCATTCTCATTTTCTCCACCATGAGAGGGCAACTGTCAGCAAGCCAGAAAGAGACCCCTACCAGGAATAGAATTTGGCCAACACCCTGATCTTAAACTTCCCAGCCTCTAGAATTGTGAGAAAATAAATTTCTGTTTCTTAGTCCATACAGTCTATAGTGTTTTGTTAATGGCAGCTCTAGTAGACTAATATAGTCCTTTTAAATTAAATTTAATTATAGTCTTTAATTATAATTAAATTATAGTCTTGATTTTTTCTTTTGTATTGAGAGATTATACTTTTTCATTTGTTTTTATTACTGATTTGTGTATTCTTTATATAGGCTGGGGAACACTTGACTGTGTTTCACATACCTTCTCCCACTCCATGGCTTATCTTTTAACTCTCTTATGGTTAATTTTGATGAAAAAAATAATTTAAATGTAATTTTTGTATCTTTATTCTTTTATTATTGTTTTTCTCATTTATAAAAAAATGTAAATTTTAGTTAGTTAACTTACAGTGTGATAATGGTTTCAGGAATAGAATTTGGTGTTTCATCACTTACATACAACACCCAGTGCTCACCACAAGTGCCCTCCTTAGTTTTTATGTATCTTTCTATCGTGATTAGTTATTTTGGAGTCTGTTTAAGAAGTGTCTTTCTACAGAGCACCAGGGTGGCTCAGTGGGTTAAGCGTCTGACTTCGGCTCAGGTCATGAACTTTCAGTTTGTGAGTTCCAGCCCCACATTGGGCTCTGTGCTGACAGCTCAGAGCCTGGAGCCTGCTTCGGATTCTGTGTCTCCCTCTCTCTCTGTTCCTCCCCACTTGTACTCTGTCTCTCTGTCTCTCTCTCAAAAATAAATAAAGAATAAAAATATTTTTAAAAATAAAGAAAAGAAGTGTCTTTCTACTCTCAAGTCACCATGATAGTTTCTTATGTTGTGGTCTGTGTGCTAACATGGTGACCACTAGTCACATGTGGTTATTAAGCATTTGAAATGTGGCTATCTGAACTGAGTTGTACTGTGAGTATAAAATACACATTTCAAAGACTTGGTATGAAAAATTAATTTATTAATACTAATATATTGATTACATAAAAATTCTATTTTGAGTACATTATGTATACAAAATATTATACATATGCTATATATATTGAGTGCATTAGGTATATATAATATATGTATATATAATTATTAACACCTATTATAGCTGTCTTTGGTGTGGTGGAATTCATTGTCCATGAACGTTTCTATTCAAAATCTTTGGTCATTAGCATTTAATGCTGTAGTTTGGAAATCTGAGGTCAGTTTGACTTTTGTTCTGTCATGTTTTTCCTGGATGCAAAGATTTTCCTTGATCTTGGAATTAAAATTGTTCTCAAATGTGTTTGTTTTCATTAATTTTTCTTGGTAATTACTTACATGCATTACTTGAAATTCAAGTATCTCCTCTGTTATAATTTCTATTTTTTCTGTCATACCTCTCCTTTTGTAATTAATATTATGAATTTATCTTTTTTTATTCTGTTTTTTGTCTTTTTACTTTTTGCATATTTTAATATTGCATACTTCTCTTTTGACCTCCGAGTGAATCATTCTGGCTTCTTCTGTCAGTAATTTCATTTTCTACTGCATCCAAGATGTTCTTTGACTTAATTTAGTTTTTGTTTTTAATTTTAGCTTTTTTATTTTGGTCTTTTCATTTTGAAATAATTTTAGATTATAGAAGTGTTGCAAAGATAGTAACAGAGAGTTCCTGTACAGCCTTCACTGAGTTTCCACTGATGTTAACAGCTTACATAGCCATAGTACATTTATAAACATTAAGAAGTTAACATTGGGAAAATACTATTAACTAGGTATAGACATAATTTTAATTTCTCCAGTTTTTAAACTAATATTCTTTTTCTGTTCCAAGGTTCAATTCATGATACTGCATTACATTTAGTTGTTATGCCTCTCTAGGCACCTCAAATCTGTGACAGTTTGGTGGTTTTTACTTGTCTTTTGTGACCTTGACAATTTTGAAGAGTACTTTGTAGACCCGTATCTTGCAGAATGTCCTTCGATTGGGATTTTTCTGATGTTTTCTTGTTTTACGTGTCGCCGGGGTTTTGTTTTAATCAGGTGTGGTAAGATATGCAGACATGGAAATGACTGCTATGAAGGAAGAGGTTTATTATTAGATTCCTGGAAATAGAATGTGTGGCATGCCAGGGAGTGCTGGCTACACGATGCAGGAAGCACCAGTTGGTCAGGAAGCAGGGGAAGCAAGTCTAAGAGGTGGGGTGGGAAGAAACATGGGAAGAGAAATTATTGTGGTTTCTGTGGAAAGGAACGGGATGCAGGAGAAGCAGGCTCAGGATGGGCTCTTTTGAATAATTTCAGTGGACTCTGGGGCATAGGGCCTGTCTCCAGTTATCTGGTACCTGGCCCTGGGATGACTGGGCAAGTGGACAGTGGTCTAGGGTATGAGAGCCTGATAGAGGAGGTGGTGGGGATATGAGCTCTGGGTTGGTTGGTTTTCATATGAAAGGTACACTAGAAGGGGAGTCCTTTATTTATCTCTAGGAATTGACCAGCCCTGGAAGGGGGACCCTCTAGGGTTAGTAAAACCTTTAAATATCAAAACATCAAAAAAAGGAAATAAAAAGACATGATTAATACATTTCTTATGATTGGACCGAGGTGGTCTCGATTTAGATGTAGAATTAGCAACCATGCTTTTCATCAAAAAATCTTTCCTGATTTCAGAATACTCTGTTTTCATTATTTACTAGTTTGAGTGTCTCCCATATCTTTTTGAGGAGTTGGAGCTTTTTAGAAAACATTTTTTTAATGTTTATTTATTCTTGAGAGAGAGAGAGAGAGAGAGAGAGAGCGCGCGCGCGCGCGCGCGCGCGCGAGCACACCAGCAGGGGAGGGGCAGAGAGAGAGGGAGACACAGAATCTGAAACAGGCTGCCTGCCATTAGCACAGAGCCTGTTGTGGGGCTCAAACTCGGGACCTGTGAGATCATGACCTGAGCCAAAGTTGGCCACTTAACTGACTGAGCCACCCAGGTGCCCCGATAAGTTGGAGCTTTTAATGATTGTCTCTTATTCTTGTTGCAACTTCATTTTGTAAGAGAAGTTTACTTCCATTTTTCCACTTTTGTTGAAACAATGTGTTTTTCCAATGATTGGTGTCTTCCTTTCACTACTCGGTGATCCATACACAAAATTGTTTGTATTGAAAACAAGATGGCTTCTATAGCAAGTTGTGTGGGTCTTTATCCAAATCTTTCCTTCACATGTAGAGGGAAATGGAGATGTTTATATTTGATGCATTGTTGATGTTGTTGTTGTTTAAGCTATAAAAGTGCAGCAGCACATTGGCCAAGGCCTGCAAGTGAATTTACCTGCAATGGTTTGCATTTCTTCCCTCTAAGTTTTCCACAATCTGATTTTTTTTTCCAGAACTATATTGCTGGTAAATTTACCATGTTATTTAAAAGAAAGTGTGAATCAAATTTAAAGCTCGTGGAATTATTAAAATTATCATATTATGTGTTGTTAGGTCTCATTCCCTAGATGCAGTCTGAGATGGCAAGTGATTTATTGAGGGAAGGCTGGGGCATGAATTGCATTGCAAAGGTTGTCCTGCATTGAGGAAAGGAGACTAGAAGTTTGCACCCCTGCATCAGTCACTGTTTGTGGATTTCCCACGGGGGCAGGAAGTGGGGAGGCAGGGTGTAACTCTTGGGGTGAGTCTGCTTCCATGTGTTGAGGACAAGTTTCCAGAGAAGGCAACAGCTGGAAACCATGAGCAGACAGCACTCACAGCGACTGAAGAATGGGCAAAGGGCCCCGGGCGGGCACCAGTAGTGCTTTCTGCGTGTGCAATAGCTCCAAGGGTCAACCAAAAAGATATAGTTTCCCTTTATGTTTCTGGTCACTGGATGTTAAATAAAGCAGCCTTTTCAATTATGAGTAAGTGAGCATTAAGGTTACAAAGGACTGTTAAGGTTGTAAGATCTCTGACAAAACAAAAATCCTCAATGGCTGTGTTTCCCATGACATGAGTTCATTTTAAGTTTAGCAG